TGAATTCTTCTCTAAGAGTGTTGGAGAGGGAGAGAAGTGAGAGATTTCTTCTTCCTAACTTTTCCTAAGAGAGGCTACAAGGGATATGCTTCGAGAAAGAGTTTTAGATAGTTGTTTTTTGTTTATTATTGTTGTATGAACTTTCTTTTATTAATAAAATTTGTGTTTTGTTTTATCTTTCTCATGAAGTCTGAGTAATTTCCTTTATCTTTCTCTTTACTCTAAGATATGGTGAAATGAAGAGATAATTTGGATGTGCCAATGTTGAAATATAAAATAAATTATGATGGTTTTTCAACTCCAATCTTAATTCACTTTTTGATCTAACCAATTGAATTGTTAAAATATGTTGTGAAACATATAATCCGGGAAATAGAGTATGAGTTCTACAACAGTTTGGGAATCACATTTAATTCCATGAAGGAGAATTTTGTTCATGGAATTAAGTGCAAATAAATAGGGAAATATACATTATTGGGTGTAGAATTGGAAATTTTAGGGTTACAGACTAAAATTCCCAATTTGATCTTAAGGTTTAAGAACTAAAACGAGAGTTAACCTTCAGGGGAGGGGAAGTGGGAGCTCTAGAGTGCGAGCCAGTATCCTCCTAGCCTAGCTACGGATTTAGGGACTAAACTTAAGATTAGCCAATGATTTTCTATATCATTGAATCAGGGTAGAGAATTAAAATTGCTCATTCTTAGCACAATACATATTTAAACCATTTATTTCATCTAATTTCACCAAAAACTCATTGTAGTGGGAAGGATGTTTTTTCATATTAGAAAACTTCATCACATAAACATGGTTTAATAGTTACTATTTTAAACTTTGCATTTAAATTTTGCTAGTAGTTAATAATTTAGTTCTGATAGCAATTCAAACATTTGAAATTAGTGACAATAATTTTGTTTTATTTTCATGAATTTCCTAGTTAATTTATCACTTCAAATTTAAGCCTTCCTCACAGGATTGATATTTGGGACTTAGATAGAAAGTCTTATATTACTTGATAACGATAAGTATATTTGTGTAGAATCTCAACATTAAGTGTTTAACATTATTATTCATAAACCACCACATCAAATTTTTGTCACCGTTGTAAAGCGAGGTCAACTTTATGAATTTTACACAACTATATTTTTTAAGAACAAATTTTTGGCGCCGTTGCGAGAGAAGGTAACAGTAAATTAAATTGATTTGGTAAATTAGAAAATTTAGAGATAAAATATAAAAAATCAATATATATATATATATATATATATAAATCCATAAACAGACACTAGAAGTAATTCTACTATATATTTTTAATATTATATTATTATATCAGAAAAAAAAAAACACAATAAATAAGCATTGTCAGCTCTAGTTGAATGGCTGCCGGATGGGCACCCATTAAGACGTTAACAAGCAAAACTTTGTCACCATTAAAATGTAGGGCCATTTACATACACACCACACAATTATTACCACTATTTACAAATCAAACACCTAAACTTTCATATTTACATGCATCGCACTTAAATCTTTGAAATCATAGAAAAGAAACATGACACCAAAGTAGATATGTAAATATATAAGAATTTGTGAGATGTGCGTAAATGCCCCTAAAAATGTAAACTAAGCTGCAAACTGCGCAAATGTCGGAACAGCTGGAGATGTTGATGAATGAGTTGGTTGTTTTGAAATGCCTCCCAATTACAACTGAAACTGCTGCTCGCTTTCTATTGATTATTTTGTCATGCAATTCATTTCACAAAAAAAATTATTTATTTGTTTTTTTACTTGAAGAATAGTATGTCAATGAATTTAATATAGAAGGGCCATTTAAAATGTGTGTGTAATTAAGCTCTAATAGTCATCAGTTCGAAAAATTATTACATCAAGACTTCGCACGTAGAATTTCGTGCGGACTCCAATGAAATCACGCCATATGGAGGTATAAAAAAAAGCCCGGTAACACAGAAGAATATTTCTTCTGTGTTATTAAGGTGTTATTGTATGTTATTAAAGTGGTATGTTATTCAGGTATTATTGTGTTTTAGAAATATTTTTGGTGTTATAATAACACAATAACACATCAATAATACTTGAATAACACACAATAATACTTGAATAACACATGCGGAATATTCTCTTGTGTTATCGGGCAGATTTATATTTTTTTTTTTCCTGTCACCGCCATGTGGTGTGATTTCATTGGACTCCGCGCGTAACTATACATGCAGAGTCCTGATGCAATATTTTCTCCAAATTTAAAAAGTCAAAATACTATTTGGACACTTCTATAAACTCTATGACTAAAGCAATATCATTTAAATAATCTTTACAAAATCTTAAAGGGATATTGTGCCATATAAATCACATTTTTTTTTTTATTTTATGCAAATGAAGTCATAAGTCAAACTATATTGACTACGCTAATTCTTATGTATTTACAATATTTAACATAACCTCACCTAAATTTCACTTTGCCTAGGCATCAAAAATGTGTATTTTGACAGTACTATTTTTGATGTGATATAAGAAAGATTTGAACGATAGAAACAATAAACAAAAATCAAAATTTTGAGGGTTAAATATGTAAATTCTTAAGAATTGTGCGGTATATATGTAAATGCCTTCAACTTTGATTTTATCTTTTATAATTATGACATCACAAGAACGTAGGAACACATTTGTGTGGGGCATTATTACACTGAGCTCTATTATCTTATACTATTTTATATGGCACTTGGTTAATATGTCATAAATATGGCAATGGGGCCAATGCTTCCCCAAAGGTGTGACAAGTATAATGCTTATAGTTGTGACTGTTGGAGCCAACGTTTGAAATAAATTCTAGCTGGGGAAAAGACTAATTTATTATGGGAGACATGCTATTTAAATCATCCACCTAAGAAGGAAATAAATACATACAAATGTAAATCTACTTTTTAATACATTTCATATACACATACACATACACACACGAACGTAAAAATCATATTGATTTGCACGAATTTCAAGACACATTTGGGGCGAGGCATCAAAATTCAAATAGGAAAATGAACACCAATATATGATTAAAGGGAGTGTCTAAAACACATTTGGGGCGAGGCATCAAAATTCAAATAGGAGAATGAACACACTCCAATTTATGATTAAAGGAAGTGTCTAAGGTCTAAATGAGACGAACAAAATGACATGAAAAATGAGATGATCTATCATTAACTTGAAACATAAAGAGTAGCTTTGGAATATGTTTGGAGGACAAATTGATCTCCAAATCTGGCAAGCTAATAGTAAAATTAAGCGGCTTGACGAGAATGTTGGCATCAATTTTTGATGTCAAGTGGGTAGGGTGTTCACCTAATTGACTTGGGATGACTCACTACTCGTCTGTAGCGTCTCGCAGCTCAACGCACCCATCTGAGACCTCCAGTACATGCTTGGGGCACGAAACCAGGGACATCAAACTGCAGTTGGACCGACTCGCCTATGACATTCGACATGTTTGATGTCTATTTTAGTATTTAGAGGTCCCTCTGTATCCATTCAGAGCCTCCTCAGAGTCAAGGAATGTCACGGAATCCTCCTATGCGCACTTGGGAAAATTAAAGTTTGGAACGCCTTACCCGCATTGTAGTCCAGAGAGCCCATTAGCGACAAATTCTCCAATCAATGGACAAACAAAATACTCAATTTTAAAATTAAGGGATCATAATTTAATCATATGTGGTCCCTCGTAGCTTTCAGATTGAGAAAATTCTCTGTCAAATGCTCTTAATGTAAATCAGAGTTTTCAGTGCTAGACCGACGACTAGATGCTCGCGCCAGACTCCTAAACACCCAACATACCATCTCAGATGTTCAAAACCGAGCCCATGAAAGTCTGACTCCAGTCTCGGGCGCCCAGGCGCCCAATTCTGCTAAAAATGGCTTTTTTTCTCGAGAGACGAGAAAGTAGGCGCCAATCCACTTCCAGGACGTGATTTTTCACGATTTTGACGTTGATGGGCTGAAATGACAGGGATCTCCTTGGGCTTAAGGAATATGCATGGGGGGATGTAATGGCTTGGGTTTAGTCTCATTCGACATGTCTTAAATGCTATCCATTAGCCATTTTTGCCTAATCGAAGAGGTACTTTTGGTATTTTCATGGAGAGGCTCATTTAAGCTCTCTTTTCCTCCTCATTTCAGAGATCTCCACTTCATTTTCAGTTTTGGTGCTAAGGGCTTGGGGGAACACAAAAGAGAGCTGCTTCATCCTCTTGGAGATCTTGGAGGTGCCTTGGAGAAAATTTCTTGGAGCAAAGAGATTTGAGAGAGACTCTTCATCTTCCTCAAGGAGAGAGCTAGAGAGGCTCTTCCTTATCATTCTTCTTGTTCCTCATGGTTCTTCTTCCTCTCCAGCGGCCTCGTCCTTCTCCAGTGAACATTCCGGGGAGTACTGCTAGGAAAGCTTCATCCTAGCTTGGGGGAAGGGAGACAACAATGGGCTCACGGTCTCTCCTTTTTGGAAGGGGAGCTTCATCCCACATTGGCGAAGGCGAAACTTTGGCGATCTCTCCAGCAAGGAGAGCTTCAGCATTACTTTGGTTAAGGACATGGGTGGGCTTCTCTCCTAATGTTAGGAGAGCTTCATCTGAAACACGAGCGTGGGACATCGATCAATCATTGTGGTGGTAAGGTTCCCAAAACCTTCACGTTTTCTTTCTTAGCCAGCTCTAGGAGTAGATTATTTTCATGTGTTGTGGTTTGGTGGCCCGCACGAGGCAAGTTAAATTGTCGACACAAATCGACACGAACATACACATTTTGATTGGCCAACTTTGTGATGTCACTGTAGGTTTTAGTCGCCTACGCTAGGTAAGTTGGTCGGTCGGACTAGTCATCACGACCATATTCCTAATGATTGGTCAACTCTTTCCTAGAGGTAGCCCCCAGGTTAGGAATCACATTTGTGGTCAATCCCGTGCGAAGCCAATTGGTTTCCCTTAATAAGCCTAGCCCCAAACTAAGCAGGTAGAAATCTCAGTTTCCTACGGCTTTGGCGCTTTTAACCTTCCTTGGAGGGGTTTTAATTGTTGAATTCTGAAGAATGAGGAAAGCTTTGTAGCTAGCTCATTCTACAAGATCATAGGAGGTTCATAGGATGAAAAAAACTTAGTAGCTAATCCGCCCTACGAATGTGAAGGAGTTCTTCTATGAGAACTTGAAGAATGGAGTTCTTCACGATTCCTCACCAAAGTCGGAGGCTGCTATGTCGCAAATCCAAGAGCTAAAACCCGAGACAACTATGTGAGAGCGTTTGTCGAGTATGACTCGCTATTGTATTGCATCTCACATGTTGCATTTTACACACTAAAATATGCCTCAACCGGAGGCCCCGACCTGGTCAACATTGCACTTTAAATCGATCAACCACCTCGACCTCATTGGCATTGCACTTTGGCTCGACAGTCCGCCCCGACCTGGCTAACCGATCACTTTGGTCTGGTCGGCTGCCCGGGCCCAGTCAACCAATCGCTTTGGTCTGGTTGACCACCGGCTAGGTCGACCGATCATTTTGGTCCGACCGGCAACCCTGACCCGGTCAAGCAATCAGTTTGGTCTAGTTGGTCATCTTAGCCCAACTTAGCCCGTTGGCTATGCTGCCCTAGGTTGTCCACCTCTGTCGACCCAGTGGGTCGAACAACCAACTTAACTTGCATAGTGTGTTTTATATGTGTATTAGTGTTGATTGTATGACATTGCATTAGCACATTCACTACTTGCACCCTTGTCGTGCATCCTCGGACATATGCCCTCATATGTTTGCGATGAGTGCTCGTGCCTCCCAAAGTCACATTACTCTGCGTTTGATTCGTGACATCTTCATGCCACTTATCACCACGTCCCAAGTGGTTTGCACTTACACTTGAGCACTTCTGCATGTTTGTCTTGCATGACATTTTGCATATTCATGACTCAAATGTTTGAGTTTTTTTGCACTCTGATTTGTGTTTCTTACACACTTATCCCTCACATTCACACATCATGTGAACGAGAATCTCATCACTGATTCAATTTTTTGTGTAATTCTCTCCAACTAGAATTACATCCTTAAGTTCCTACAACACCACTCCAGACCGTCGTAGGCACATTCTTTGGGTCACTGTCTTTAAAGCATACTCATTCTTCGGGTCACTTCCTCCACAGCATGCCCATCCATTTTGGGTTGCTGCCTCCATGGCACATCTATCCCTCTAAGTCATTGCCTCCATGGCGTGCTCACTCCTCTCGAGTCACTACCTCCACAATAATTCTATTATTCGGGCCACTACCTCCATGGCATGCCCACCCCTTTCGGATCACAGCTTCCGCAACACGCCCACCCCTTTCGGATCACTGTCTCCATGACACGCCCAGCCCTTTCGGGCCACTGCCTCCACAATACACCCACTCTTACGGGTCACTGCCTCCACGACACGCCCACCCATTCAGGTCGCTACCTCCACGACACACCACGTCACATCCATTCCTTTAGGCTGCTACCTCTACCACACTCCCACCCTTTCAGGTCACTGTCTCCACGACACACCCATTCTTCGGGTCGCTGCCTCCACGGTACACCCATCTTTTTAAGTCATTGCCTCTACGACACACCCACTCTTTTAGATCACTGCCTCTAAGACACACCCTTTTTAAGTCATTGTCTCTTGTTCATTGCATACACGACACATCCACCCCTTTAGGTTACTACCTCCATGGCACACCCACCCCTTCAGGTCACTACCTCCTCTACACAACCACCCTCCGAGTCACTGCCTCCACAACATACTCATCTTCACTTGTGTTGTATGTCTTGCATGCATACTACCACATTGTTGTTGCATTCGTCATTGGTATACGCCACCATATACTAGTGACGAATGTTTGCTATCTCATGAAAATAACTTACACTTTCACGAGCATGTTCCTTCACATAAGGCATGTGTCTGTTTGCTTCCTTGCACGGTGCACTATACCATGTATCTGCTTGTCATTTGCATGTGTGTTTGGTTGTTATTGGTGCAAGGAGTAGTTCTCCTCAGTGGCATCCTATACACTAGGCAATCAAACACAATACCACTTGCCCTATGTGTCTTACATGTGCATCTTTGCACCATCAACATCTTCATCGCTAGTATTGTGTCTTACATGTGCATCTTTGCACCATCAACATCAACATCAACATCTTTGCACCATCAACATCAACATCATCATCATCAACATCTTCATTGCCCTATGTGTCTTACATGTGTCTTACAAGTATCAACGTCGCTGTATACTTGTGATGAATACTTTTTATCTCGTGATCGCTTCAACTTCTATGAGGCAGTCACTGTGGACTTGAGCACTTTGCATCCGCATGTGCATCACTGGTCGTCTCGACGATGAAACTGGCTCGTTAGCTGAGCGACTCCCTGTTAGTCACAATGTGGCAGCTAGTATTGTCTGTGAGGATGTCTCAGTGGACAATACTAGATATCGTACCGTGACTAGTACCCGTGTGTTGTGTGAAGGTTCCAAGGGGTCTGATGGGTGCCACATAGGCTTTCTTTCCTTAGGACTTATTTTAACGTATAAAATCTATATTTTTATTACTTACACATGATACTTGCAAAATCTATTTTGAAACTACTTGCATATTTAGTTTAAATCGTACATGAGGTCAAATTTTTTAAAAGTTTTTACAAAACCTACATATAGTGGCACCTCTTAGAATCCTTAGATCTTTCAGATGGGGCCGGTGATGGGCGACCCCATCAAAAAACATACATCAACTTGCTAACATAACCCCTACACTCATTTAAATGTTGTGTTAGGACACTTACCTTAGATGTTGTGTTAGACTAAGGATTAGGATGCTATGTAGACTTCTTCGGCGACCTGACGGTTGTTTTGTGCTCATGTGTTTGTCCCCAACTGGACATATTTTTTTTTTCTTTTGTTGTGCTTGTGTGTTTACTTTATGTATGTGTAGTAGTATATTATCCTGTTGGGAGTTATGCCATATATATGCGCACACAAATATAATAAAATTGGGGAGCATGTGATAATTTACATGCTAACATTTGCTTGAAAGTGCTGCTAAACTCCCCCATAAGGCATGGCTTAAATACGATTGCATGTCTGTTGACTTTCTCGAAAGTTATTTTCATGTCGGTCGAGTCTTTTTTTAGATTTTTCTTTATTTTTTTAGAGTCCCTAGGAAAGTTTTGTATTAGGAAAAAGGTATAGGCATATATTTCGATGCACCAGACTCATCGAACGGTGTGACATAGACCAGAAGTAGCAAGCTCGTGTTTCGTACCTTAATTCTAAATTTCATTATGTATAAAATTGAAACAGGACATGTATATGCAAAGTCCGACCATTTTTTTCTGAGAAATGTTGGCGACTGACCGACTTTTTTTGTAAATCAACAATTACAAAAATTTGATGATGCTACTAGAAGATTTAAATTCCAACAACGATGCCAAAAACTTGACTGCGACTTTATATATATGTTTAATTTAATAAAAATGTATAGATATGATATTGAATAATGTTAAAGTCGAATTTGTCAACGCGAGTATACGTATCACTCAAGTAATATAGGGCTCTAATGGAGTCCTAGATATCGATCTCACAGGGAGAAATAGAATTCTACGGACTAAGATTTAATAAAAAGTAATACTTCAACTACAACGACGTTCAAGTTGCTTAT